CGTCCAGAGTTGTTGGTAGAAGAGGGACGTAAACAGCTTCCTTAACATAACCCCATAAGAAGTAGTCACAGATCAGGAGATCTCGGTGGGCAAAAGTGGAGAGCCAGGTCTTCATTTCCCCTGTGAGCTATCCAGCGTTGAGGAAGGGCTGCATTCAAAAAGCCTCGTACATGAAGGTGCCAATGGGGCGGAGCTCCGTCCTGTTGGAAAATGAAGTCCTGTGAATCTTCCATAACTTGAGGAAACAGCCATTCTTCCAACATGTAAGTACGTGTAAGTACAGATCTTTCCGCAAAGAAAAATGGTCCTTTGTGCGAGATACGGCACAGAACACGTTTACTTTAGGTGAGTCTCTTTCGTGTTGCAATGTTAAATGTGGATTTTGCAAACTCTATATGCGAACATTATGTCTGTTGAGTTTTCCACTAATTGTAAGGTGGAAAGTCGCTTCATCATTAAAAATGATACGCTGCAGAAACGCGTCATCCTCCATCATTCTCTTCTTCTCGAAACGCTTCTCTTTGTCATTATGGTTGAGAGGTCGGCCTGTGCTTTTCCCTTTACACACACTTCCAGTTCGTTGAAATTGCGTAAACCAACGCTTAATGCTTTTTCTAGTTGGTGGTTCGATACCGAATTTTATGCGAAATGCCCGCTGCACTACAGATTGTGACTCACTTCTTGCGAATTCAAGAACGCAGAAAACCTTGTGCTCTCACTCACTTTTGACGAAGACGTACATATTTTTTGTTATAAGACAAAAAGATGAATAATAAAATTATGTTTATTTGTCGCTATGGTGCGACATACCGCAATCGCCTTCTTTTCTACTTAGTATTTTTACAGAGAGGAAACGAACGGATTGCAAAAAAACTTTGAAATTTCCTCTTTCCATTGCTATAAAGATTGTTCATTTTGGATCTGTACTTTCATCTTTAAAAATGGGTCCATCATTTATAATAACCCTGTATATTAATGATCTGCTTTGCAACATTCTTGAAGAGACATATTTATATGCTGGATGATGGATGTATCATCACATCCATCATATTAAAGGACACTACAAAGGATAACTTGATGGCTAAATCACAAGAAGCTATATTGTCCACTCAAAAATGGTTCAGTAATAATCTGCTCAAACTAAACAGTGAAAAAAACAGAACATATAGTGTTGGAGACCACTCGGCGTGGGAGGGAATCTGCAACTGTAAAATTTCTGGGTATGTATCTAGACAGCGGAATGACGTGGGAAGTGCACTTGAAGCATCTGAGGACTAGGCTGACTTCTGCTATCTTTACAATACGAAGACTAAAACAAGTAGCAACTCACCAGGTAGCCAGGTTGTTATACTTTGCATCTTTTCACTCGCTGGCGTCGTATACCGACTACAAAAGAGGGCATTACGGGTGCACTATGTGGGCTGCGAACAGACGAAAGTTGTAAGAACTACTTTAAATATGAAAATATACTTACCTTACCAAGCATATATATACTTACGGCATTGCTGCATGTTCATGATAACAGAGACAGTTTTCCCTCCAATGGTGGTACCCATAGCTATCTGACCAGATCACGACACCAATACCAGGTATCGTACCACAGAATTGCATCAACGCAAAAAAAGTATGTGGATTACTGGGGTCCAAAAATCTACAACGAACTACCACCGCAGCTGACGCACTGTCTAGGCAACGGTTTAAGAGGAAAATAAAAAAATATTTGATGGAGTGCGAGGAATATGTCACGACAGTTCAGTCTCACAATTTTAATGCGTAATGTGTAGTGTGTAATCACCATGAAATGTATATTTGTATTATTGATATTTCATTTTATTTCTTATGATAACATTGCACTGTTTGTCAAATTTTATCTTTCTAAGACAAACCATATTGACGAAAAAATGTAAGAAAATGTTTAAATAATTCTTAACTTTGAAGGCTCACATCTTAGCCATTTATGGGTTTAGAACAACAATTTTTACACGAATCGTTATCATTTTTACTCTAGTATTTGTGATTAAAATTATGCCACGACTTACAGAAACACCCTACATAATCGGGACCGGTTTCGACAATTTTTTTTCATCATCAGCCGAATCTAAAAATGGCAAAAATTGTAATAATACTGTTTTAATTCATTTGATTCTCCTCATATCGTCGATTCTTTTTATTGATAACTTATTTTCTTTTATTGCAGGAATATGCCGCCCGTACGCCTCTTTATGCGAGTTTATGATCTTATTAGGTAAGTACTTTTAATTTTATGTTTTCGCAAACTGTCACCTTGAAGAGATCTTCAGGGATATCTCAACATTTTAGTATCACCACAGTTATCTTGTGTAATTTAATTTTAACGCCAATAAGAATTAGGTTATATTTACTATATTTATATCGCTCGGTTCGCCTCTTAATTTTTTCAAACGACTGCATTACCAGTGATGGGTAGATCCCATCATTATCAACTGCATCAACCAGCGGTTTGTTAGCGGTTTTCTTTGGTTTTAAAACCAAAGTCATGTGAGATGTATGTCACTTATTCAAACTGTATTATGCCGGGCATTTCTGAAATATATCACTCTGAGTTCCTTCTGAGTAGGAATAATAATAATAAATGACTTTATTGTCTCCATTACAAAAAAGAAACTACAATACAAATATATACATAATATATGGAGATCAAACGGCGGGATCCAGAATAGTCTGTTCTATCCAACCTTAAATAAAAAAAAAATCTTTATAAGCATAAGACAGAAAGGTTACTCATTGTACATTCGTGCAGTGAACTGGTCTTGTTTCAAAAGCCGCTTCCTCATCAATCTGCAAACTTATAAATCCCCAAGTTTATGCGTATAGGTTGAGAATCACTCTGTATACTGCTTCATATGTATATTACATCACTTAGCATCATCTACATCATCTTAGTTCTTTGTGTCAGTGGTAATCATTAATGGTTTCCTTCCGGTAACACTTTCTACAAGTATTATTAAGTAAGGAAACCATTGATGATCGCCACTGACACAAGCAACTGGTTTGCTAAGTGGTGTAATATACATATGAAGCAGTACATAGACTCTCTAAAGCAGTTTTTTCAAGCAACATGGAGTACTTATCATGTTTCAAACATGTATAGTTTTCTGCAAGTAGTATCTAGTGTTTTAAAAACAGTATGCAGTCTTCTGCAAAGAGTTCGTGGTCTTCTGCAAGCAGGATCTAGTCTTGTATAAGCAGTAGGTAAACAATATCTAGTAATGTACAAGTAGTATCTAATCTTTTCTGTTAGTATTTAAATTTCTGCAAGCAATATCTAGTCATAGAGAAACACTCTTTGGCGTTCTGCAAGTAATATGTAGTCTTGTACAAGTGTTTGGTCTTATGTACGCAGTATACAACCTTTTTCAAATAGTATCTAGTAAGTAGTAGTAGTAATATTTCTAATAGTAGTCGGAATCAGATGAAAACACGCACTTCGCATTCTAAAACCTTAGATATACTTGCAGTAGTGTATTGAAAGATCATATAGTAGATGATGTTTATGGAGATACTGTTGGAATCCAAACCACGCCAAAGATAGAGAAAATAGAGTGCAGATGACAGAAAGCTATGCCATAATATTCAAAGAAAATTCTATGGGCCATCGTGAATGGAGAAAAAAAAATCTGGAGACTTGAATACAAAATAGTTCAAGACTTTAGTAGATTTGTCTAAACTCTACTAGGGCAGATTGATGAGGAAATTCGATGATATAAAGTAATACTGGAAATAATGAAATGTTAAAGAATATTTCAAGCAAAGAAAATTTTATGTACGTAATAGAGAAAAATAATTTTTTTTACATAAAAACCGTAATTAAAAGGAAATTGAATATAAATAAAAAATAGATGAAGAAAAAGTTAAAAAACAGCGATAAAAAAATCTTAAGCAATTAACAAGTACCCGACAAATGAGTGTTAGAGTGTTGTTAAGTAAATGAATAAAGCAAATACGACCTAAAAGAATAAAGATGACGTCGAAAAGAAAAAGAATAAAAAAAATAAAACGAAGGAGTGATGAAGACATCAGGATAACAGGATGAATTTTTTTCTAACTTCTTTGGTGCGGCGACGGAAATTTCTAATTTTACTACTTAATTGCGCCCCGTCTAATTGTTTATCTATTGCCGGGTATAAATTTCTTAGTCAGCACGGTAGGAAAAAAAAGATGAGCCGAAGAAAAAGGAGGAAACGGTTTTCTTTCGGGGCGTACTTTTATTGTATAATTGCGGTGGAATTTTTATCGTCGCACGGTTGAACGTTGTAGTATTAACGTACACATAAAAATTCTTGTGGATAAACACCGTGTTACGCTTCGAAAGAAATTTGTTTTAAACAACATACAGAATTAGTTTATCTCACTCATTTTAGTTACATTCAGAAAATAATAGTTATTTATATTACAAGTGGGGTAGAAACATAATTACTGTACGAGTGTGGAGAATTTAATCACACGAGTACTGTAATTATGCTCTAGCCCACGTGTGATATACAACATTTTATCTACGACTGTTAAAAATTACTGAAAATTCATTTTCTTTAAAAAGGTCTATTTTGACATTTTAAAAATATCTTGAATGTTGACAATTTTGATTTAATGTCAGTTTCGATAACATGTTTACTCATCTGAAATACGTGTTTCGAAATGTAAAAACATAACAATTAATGTTTATGTTACCGGCAATCTGTATAATCCGGCATTCTATACAATACCTAGGCATTTTATAGAATACCTAAAACGTTTAGGTAATGTATGAAATATTATTAATTTTATACTTTGCCTAGGTATTCTATAAAATACCAAATGCGAAGCAGGCTATGTGTGTAAAAGGCTAGAACAGGGAATGGGGAGACATGTGGCCATGCAGTAAATAAACGCGCAGCGACTTGTTTTTGCTTGCATTTCATTACGCTGCGTGCGACAAGGGTGGAAGTGTCGTGTGGTTTCGTTAGTGAATCTAATTCATTAAAATGGCGGCCGATAAACGAGTCTCTCAGATGAGAGAAAGATTTTATTCACACTTGTGTATTAAAAGAAAATCAGCAACTACTAAAAATTGTACGTTTATTGACTATCAATGGTATGAACAATTGTTAGAAGAAATAAAAAATGCAAAAACAGCCAATAAGAAGTTACCCCGGGATTATTGGTTATTGAAGCATTATGATTTTATAACTGTTGGTCAAAAACATAGGTTAATATTTCCTGTGAATACCCCAAATAACAATATTATATATTACGTTGCTGATAGTGAATTATTCCAAGTACTTCACGAGGTGTATCAAAGTATCGGCCATGGCGGTCGAGACCGTATGCTGAACGAGCTTTCTATACGATACAAGAATATAACTCGCCACGATGTTGAACTATATCTGCAACTTTGCGAACCGTGCCAGCCAAAACAAAAAGGAATAAAAAAAGGGATTGTCGTCAAACCCATACTTTCATCTGAATTTAATTCTCGCTGTCAAGTAGATTTGATTGACTATCAATCTCATCCAGATCGAGAATATAAATTTGTAATGGTCTATCAGGATCATCCCAGGAAGTTTGTAATATTAAGAGCACTAAAAACACAACGCGCAGAGGAAGTAGCTTACAATTTACTGGATATTTTTACATTGATTGGCGCACCAGCGATCCTACAATCAGACAATGGTAGAGAATTCTCAAACCAAATTGTAAGCAGTCTTAAAACGTACTGGCCAACTTTAACAATTGTACATGGTAAGCTTAGACATTCCCAAAGTCAGGGGAGTATCGAACGAGCAAACCAGGACATCGAAAATATACTAACAACTTGGATGCAAGATAGTGACAGTAATCGTTGGAGTGATGGTCTGCGCTTTGTACAACTCATGAAGTATAAAGCATTCCAATCAGGCATCAAAAGAACACCTTACGAAGCTCTTTTTGGATCTAAAGTAAAAGTTGGTATATCTTTACCTCTCGATGATACTCACAACTTGGAGAGTGAAGAGGATCTAGAAAATGTGATTAAGTCATCACCAAGTATTTTGATTCTTTCAGAATCTTTAATAGTAGATCGAGTTCGGACACAAAATCAACCTATAGAGGCTCAACATCAACAAACCCCCGTCATCGAAAGTTCTGAGATCCGTAATGAAGTTTCGAATGCTCAAAGTGCGTAACACATGATTATCCAAAGTGCCGAGACTCTTGATGAACCTGTGAATGTTGAAAGTCTTCCTTCTGAGGTACATGGACAACCCTTAGATGTTCTGAATTTTGTATCAGAACGTAAACAATCATTGGATTCCCCACTCTTGTGCTGTGTTTGTACTGAGGAGACAACGGGTGCTCATTCGTGTAGAACATGCAATAGACCCATTCATGCTATTTGTGCTGCTCCTGAGAAAGATATGGCAGAAGGCTATGGTTCTAAAGTTGTTTGCCCATTATGCTTAAAAAACTCTTTAGTTATACAGAACCGCATCAGTTCCAAAGATAATATAACAGAGCAAGCTCAGAAAATGCTTAACACTTCTGGAAAAAAAATTCCCCCTGTGCCATTGGGTACCACTGTAAGAATCCCTGTTCCGGAAGTCGACAGAGGTCGTGGTGATGCTCGCAATATACTAGCTGTAGTCTTACAAAAAACGGATGACGAACTTTATAAAATAGGAACAAAGCAGGGTGTTGTAAAGAATAGGTATTCAAGACAGCAGTTTACAGTTTGTCGTCAAGAACTACTTAAAAAAGAAGATGTCCCTAATCAAGAAACGACGCTCCGTACAGTTGCGAATCTGCAATCTACGGGGACAGGTCAGGGAATTATTAAATGTAGTTGCAAAAAACACTGTGATACTAAAAAGTGTTCATATCTTAAAAGTAAGATTTTATGCACTTCAAAGTGTCATAATAGTTCCGCATGTAAGAATAAATAAATATATTTTTTTACTTACTCAATTCTACGTCTTGTTTTTACACAATTATTTTGTTTCCTAAGTTTTTAATACTTATTACTTGATTACTTATAAGCAAATAACATTATGTTAGTGATCCCAGAAAAATTTTAAGTTTAATGTCATTTAACTGTGATTTTACTATAGTTACAGAAAGGTACTAGGTGCCTTCTTTATACAATAACTTATAGATTATAAAAAAGTTTATTATGTGTAAAAATGGATAAATACAGACCAAAATCTATTTATTTTACACATTGCCAGTCGACCAACAGGTACTCTATGTAATCCCTAGGAATTGTATACATTACCTAGGTAAAGTATCTAATGGACAATAATCTTCATAATATTTCATACATTGCCTAGACACCCCAGGTATTTTATAGATTACCTAGGCATTGTATAGAATACCTGAATTATACAGATTGACGGTAACATATACATNTCGAGCAGCAAATGTATCGCATGTTCTTGTTAAAACTTTGTTACATTCTCCATAGATAATAAATAGATTTAGATAATCTTCATTAGTATAATTTAAACGTGCGGGCATAGTGAATTTTATAAATGATATAATGACATTTGTGTTACCTTCATTTGTTTCTCGGTAGTCATGGCCGTCTTTGACACAAAATTGTTTTGAATAATCTTAAACTATTTAAAACGAAAATTACAAAGAAACGGCGATAGTTAGATATAGGGAACCTTACATAAAGTTACCTTTATTTTTAATGTAGATTCAGATACAATTAAAAAAATATATGGTTTCCATTTAATTTTTTTGAGTTTTTCGCTTTTTCTTATATAAATATTTGGCAGCTTTTTTTGAACACCCTGTATGTAGTAGGACAACATATGAGCTACCAAAAGTTAAGCTATAGTCTCTTCTTCAAATTCCTTTCATCAGATATAACAAATACTTAACAGTGTTAGCAGAAATACACATAACATACAAGCCTGCATAGGTAATTTTTTTACATAAATTTGTAAATATTTCAGAAACGGGTAAGAATTTTATATAAGATGTTTAAGTAAAAGTTAATTAAAATCGGATGTAGAATCTAAATATGTAATAATATATAGGTGGTTCCATTTAAAATAACGAAGTTGTTGTCTACTTCCGGTATAACCGGAAGTGCGACAGTCTTGAAAATATTTTAGGTGAGTTGGGCATATCGACTTAAGTGCGCCTACAAATTTTCAGAAAGATACTACTCATAGTTTCTCCTATATCGATCGACGCAGTTCATCGTGGGACACCCTGTACTATAATAACCTCAATATAAGAAAGTTGTCATATCTGTTAATATTTTATTTTTTTGATTAGTAGGCCGTATCAGAACTGTGGAATAATGGCCTCATTATTCAACACTTTGTCTGTCATGAGTAATGAGTGTCATTACCCATCAAAAATGAAATGTATAACGAATAGATAATTCAATAGTTGTAGATAAATTAATTTATAATCTCTTTAAACAAATAATAAATTAACTTTTAAAGGAAAAAGTTTCAAGTCACCCCCTGATGATGTATCAATTAAAATGGTCAAAAAATCGGGGGCTGACTTTCGAAAAACGGCTGTCCTCCTGACGTTTCGTAATAATAACGAGAGGCGGCGGTCCTTTTTTCTTGCTTAGCCACAGTTATTTTTTTTTTTTTGGGGTTGGATCGCTTTTAGTGGTTCCTCAATAGGTTTATTTATCTTTTTTTAACGACTTCTTCGCGTATAGAAAAAAAAATAGTAGGAGTCGGCGATTAATTTTATTAACGTGTTACGTTCGCTTTTGGGCCACCAATAAACGCATTAAATTTTCTCTCAAAGACCGACGACGGTTAACGTTTGTTTAACGGAAAATAAAAAAAAATCGGCTTAAACATTTTGACACCCTTGTTCAGATTTAAATGGAGCCGAAAAAAAAATCGTGGGAAAAAAAGGGGGTTGATAATTTTACGACCTCTTTGATAGTTTAAACATTTAAAGGTCAGTTTTAATTTAAAGATTTTTATATCACGTTCGTTTAATTCATCATAACCTTTACTGACAGTAAGGAATTTGGAGTATTCCATTTTGCGTCCCGTTGCGGTGGAAAAGGAGTCGAAAAAAGAAAAGAAAAGGAGAAAAACGAAGTGGAAGAGAAGAAGGGAACAACAACAAGATAACCGCGGGCGGTGCTCAGCGTGTGCCTGAAGAAGCGCGGTTCCTTTTAATACGCCATGTAAACTATAGACACCTATTGTGCCATCTTTTATTAATGGACCGACGTGTGTTCGCCGCTTTCCGACGGTAACGGCACATTTTTCCCCCTCACTTATTTTCTACTTCGACTGTATAATTCCCTTTCACGGTTTTCAATGAGTTAAATGAATTCCGTTGATAAAGTGATGACATATGGAAAGAATGTATGATGAGAAGAAAAAGTTTCTTCTTATTTTAATCCCTACAATATTAAATCTTGTTATCAATTGCAGATCCATTCATATATTTTGAAATGTCATCATTGCCGTACTATTCACAGGGAAATTGTATCAATCTCTTTTCAAGCATGTTTGGTGTTATAGCCAACCTATCTTTTAGGTTAGATAGTTTTAATTTAATCAAAAATTGATTGTCAGTTATATCTGGGACTTTATATGTTCCTGGGACTTACTTTACAGATATTTGAAATCCTCATTCTTACCACTGTGTTGGATGAAATTAAAACAATTTAGCACTTTTGCAATGGAAAATCCTTTATTATTTAGCTTTTACCGGTTTCGCCCTAAGGGCATCTTCAGAAAGCCACCTATTGTATAAAACAACATAAAAATACAACAATGCCTCATCTCAACATAACACATTAAATCAAAATGAACAAAATCAAACTTACGTCAGTTTTTGAATACATTAAAACGTTCACATTCATATTACAAATTAAAAACCTTTGAAAGTTATATACAGGATCATCCACGACGACTGTCCATTAGAACTTTACAGGGTTCTGGCCAATACAAAAATTTGAAAATTCAGATTTAAGTATTATTAATTGCGTTCTCTTCGACTAAAATATTTTCAGATTTCTAGCACTTCCGGTTATACCGGAAGTCGCCACCTACTTTATTTTTTTAAATGGAACACCCTATATATTTTTACATATTTGATTTGTCTGTTTTCAAGGTTCTCGTTCGGCATCAAACACAGAAGTCTGCAAATTTTCAAAAGGCCAGTTCATATGGTTATACACTAGGTCACACTAGGTATTCATGACACACTAGGTTAAATATCGATATTTGTGTGCATTTTCAATAAACCCTAATTATTTCCCAAACTATAAATGTTAGGTATAGGACATATGGGATATAAAAGATGTAAAATGAGTTATGGTACTTCTAAGTTTCGAAAAGGTAACGTGCCATAGTAAAGTAACCAAACGTTCTAGACAGCCATACTCGGCACCAAAACATACTCCATCATGTTGCTTAAGCATGTTCTGAATCTTAAATTGATACCCCAAAAATCGAGTGTTCTCTGATTTTTTGAACAAATGTCTGCTGGAGCATATACAGGGTGTTCCATTTAAAAAAATAAAGTAGTTGGCGACTTCCGGTATAACCGGAAGTGTTAGATATTTGAAAATATTTTAGTCGAAGAGAACGCAATTGATAATACTTAAATCTGAATTTTCAAATTTGTATTTTGGCCAGAACCCCGTAAAGTTCTAATGGACGGTCGTCGTGGATGACCCTGTATAATGGCGTGATGAGTTTAGATTATTACGATTGAATTAAGCGTGGGTTCACAAATCAACGGAAAAACCTTTTTGAGGTTATGATAGTTAGTTTTACCACCAAATGTCATAGATGCAGTTATGCAAATGTTATTACATCGATAAAGAAGGAAATTAATATTTGTCAATTTGAAAGTTCTCAATTTAGTATAGTTTGTAGACATAAAATATGTAAAGCATCGGTATAAATTATAAATATTGCAGGTAAAGGCGGGGATATGTAGGAAATAAAAGGGGGAACAAAGGTTAGGAGTAAACGCTACATATTTAATTACCCTCGTACATCTGGAATTTGAAGAGGATGCTGTTGGAATTAGTAGGAAGGGTAGGGAGTGTAGCTGAGAGGATTTTCCACATGTTGCGGTATGTTGAATGCCACATATTCAACCACCCTCGTGCATCTGGAAAAACATTTTTTTTTTTATTATTTTCTTTTTGTTTTTTGGGGGGTGTATAAGGAGA